AAAAAAAGAGTCAGGCGCAGTGGTTTATGCCTGTAATCCCAGCACTTTGGGAGTCCGAGGCAGGCAGATTACCTAAGGTCAGGAGTTCGAGACAAGCCTGGCCAACATGGTGAAACCCTGTCTCTACTAAGAACACAAAAATTAGCCGGGCGTGGTGGCAGGCACCTGTAATCCCAGCTACTCAGGATGCTGAGGCAGGAGAATCGCTTGAAAGCAGGAGGTGGAGGTTGCAGTGAGCTGAGATGGCGCCATTGCACTCTAGGCTGGCGGACAAGAGCGAGACTTTGTCTCAGAAAAAAAAAAGGAAAAAGAAAAAGCCAGCTGAGGCTGGGCACGGTGGCTCACACCTGTAATCCCAGCACTTTGGGAGGTTGAGGCGGATGGATCATGAGGCCAAGAGATCAAGACTATCCTGGCCAACATGGTGAAACCCTGTCTCTACTAAAATTACAAAAAGCTGGGCATGGTGGTATGTGCCCATAGTCCCAGCTACTTGGGAGGCTGAGGCAGGAGGATTGCTTGAACCTGGGAAGTGGAGGTTGCAGTGAGCTGAGATCACGCCACTGCACTCCAGCCTGGCGACAGAGTGAGACTCCGTCCAAAAGAAAAAAAAAAAAGGCCAACTGGAAAAATGGGAATCAACCAAATGTCTACCAAAAGGTGAATGGTTAAATTGAAATAAACTATAGCCAGCTGGGTGCCATGGTGCATGCCTGTAATCCCAGCACTTCGGGAGGCCGAGATGGGCTAATCACTTTAGGCCAGGAGTTTGAGACCAGCCTGGCCAACATGGCAAAATCCCATCTCTACCAAAAATAAAAAAAAATTAGACGGGCGTGGTAGCACATGCCTGTGGTCCCAGCTACTTGGGAGGTTAAGGTGGGAGAATCACTTAAGCCCAGGAGGCAGAGGTTGCAGTGAGCCTAGATCATGCCACTGCCCTCCAGCATGGGTGAGAACGAAACCCTGTCTCAAAAATAAATAAATAAACAAACAAACAATGCCACATCCTATCCACACAATGGAATAAAAATGCAACCCTGGCCAGGCGTGGTGACTCACGCCTGTAATCCTAGCACTTTGAGAGGCTGAGGCAGGTGGACTGCCTAAGCTCAGGGGTTCGAGACCAGCCTGGGCAACACGGTGAAACCCTGTGTCTACTAAAATACAAAAAATTAGCCGGCGTGGCGGCGTGCACCTGTAGTCCCAGTTACTCGGGAGGCTGAGGCAGAAGAATTACTTAAACCTGGGAAGTGGAGGTTGCACACTGAGCTGAGATCACACCACTGCACTCCAGCCTGGGCGACAGAACGAGACTCCGTCTCCAAAAAAAAAAATTATCATAATGCAACCCTAAATACAAGTGAGTCAGCTATCTGCTAGCTGTGTCCAGTTATCTCTAAGATAAACTGATAAACTTAGCCAAATTCTAAGTGATCTGCCCGCCTCAACCTCCCAAAGTGCTGAGATTACAGGTGTGAGCCAACACGCCAAACGGTATAGTGTGCTACCTTTTGTCAAGGGCAGGAGGTAGGGCAGAGTAAACATGATCTTATTTGTTTCTTTTGGCACAGAGAAACCTCAGAAAGTTACATTAAAAAACTAATAAAAGTAGTGGCTGGGCGTGG